TGCTTGTAGAGTAGATTAATTCAGGGTGATCACATTAAATTACCATTTTTGGATATCAGAAATTGTTGAATGATAGCAATTTTATGTTTCAATCTATATTTTAAAACTTTATGTCAGACCGTAATTAAATTTGGATACTATAAATAAGACTTTAAAATAGAGGAAAATGGCTCAGAAAAGATCAAAACAAGAGTCTCAGTAATGACAAGATGAAGGAGACAAGATATGCTCTCCCCTCTTAACCTTTTGAGGGGGCTGATTCACTACCATGCCAAATTTATTGTTATTTAATCATACCTTTAATTTCCTAATACTCTGCTTCTGCTTCAGCAATATGTTCTTCCCTTTCCACATGCCAACTCAAAATCGAATGCAACGGTTCTGACTGACGGATTCCCAAATCAATTTTGCCCATATGAATTTAACAAACTCTGTTCCAGGCCCCCTCTCTGTTGTTCCCTGCATAGTGCTTGATCCACTTAATGATTCATTTCGCACACTGTGTTTATGATTCTGTGCACTCTTCAGTGGAATCACTGTACTTGAAAACACCTTACTGAGTTCCTGTTTATAATGTCTTTCCTCGTTTTAAGTGTTATTTTTTTCCCTGTGGGAGACGGGGAGTATAGTCTTGCAAGCAGTGCTCAGGAGGTCTAGAGTTCTTCCCATATATTCTCACCAACTAGGCCAGTGGGTCAATAAGAGGCCCCCAAGAAATGGTGTTGCTTGGGCCTGTGGTTCCAGGAATTACAATGATGGGGATGGGTAGTGTGAGGGGGCGGGAACACTGGTGCTTGGGCCTCCTGCTTCAGGGATTACCTGGATTATAATGCTGGTGAGGAGGCAAGGACATATGGCTCTGAGGACGGAAATATCTTTCTGGGCCCTTTAGTGATTCTTTTGAAGCATAATCAGGGATTGTCACATTCAAACATGACTACATAACAAATTTTGCTTAAGATTCTTGGAGGAAATGCAGTTCACAGACCTCTCACATTGTTTAGTGTGTCAAATCCATACTAATTCGATGCAAAACCTAAACTACACAACCTGTCTGCTAGTCTCCACCTTCACAGGAAAGCCCCACAGGCAAGTCCTAACCGTCCCTTCCCTCCTCCCTCATGGCCTCCCAACTGCTCATATTCTCCTGCCACAGCAATAAATGTCCCCTCACGGATATATATGCAATGCTGCTGTGCTACATTGTGACCTAGCCTCTGTTTCTTAAATTTGAACTTTAACACTTAATATCACCGTACTGGACAAACTAAAGCTATCTTCTGCTCCACCTTTTTTGGAGATAGGAAAATGTACATACTAAATACTACCTTCCCTTCATTCTACTTGTAAAATGTCTTATCTTCCCAGCAGACTATAAAACCACCTCTTAAAACACCTGAGCATTGATTTAGCACCATTTTGGCCCACAAACTATGTACCATGCTTTACAATGATTAGTTTCTATGTCTTACAAATAATTTTTATTAGAAAAAGCTAGTATTCTTTCAAAACTATAACTAAGTTATTTAAATTTAGGTGTCTGTCAATAAGATAAATGTTAAAACTTTTCACTAAATTTTCCATAATAATATAATCTCACAAAGAAATACTTTTATATACATTTATACCCAAAATTAAAAATTTATTTTTAAAATGAAGATACCCAACACTAGCAAAGATGTAATAAAGCAAGCATAACTATACAGTCCCACTAGAATTGTAAGTGGAAATACCTCTTTTGAAAAGCAATAAAGAATAATATCAGAAGCCCCCCAAAATATAAATTCTTAAATTCAGCACTGATAGCTACTTGAGAATTAAATATGAGAAATTAGATTTAAGAAATTTATAAAGAGAATTACACTTTATACAAGTGTTACTGTTTTAAAATTGCAATATTTTAAAACAACCTAAATATATAACAGCAATAGTACAAATATCTGATTGATTTATTAACAAACTACATAAACATTGTTTTACCTAGTTAAAAAATGTCTAAGGTAGCACATTCAAAACTTAATAATAGTCGACAATGGTCCAAAAATGTCTTTATTGAGATGTTAAATCAAAAAAGATGCAGTTACACAGAGTTAGCCCTCCGCCTCTGCTGAAGCTACAGTCTGATTCAAACTGTAGTCTGAAAATATTTCCTGTGTAGTAAGGCCTAGGAAGGCTGTCTGTACTGAACATGTAGATATTTTTGTCATTATTTCCTAGTTTATCTAGAATTACATCAATTTGCATAGCATTGACATCTTATCAGGCATTATAATTAATCTAGTGGTGATTTAAGGCATAGAGAAAGAAACGCATAGGTAAAATGTGAATCTTATGCTGCGTCTTTTGAGCATTCATGAATTTAAGCATCTCAGGGGATCGGAGAATCAATCTTTTCAGATATCCAGGGACACCAGTATATGCAAAATGATGACAAATATATAAAAATATCCATAGAAGACAATCCCACTGATCTATTTGTATCTTAGACCTGTATTTTACCTTATAGACTCTTGAGACTTTATATTGTAAGCTAATAGCATTTTTAATCAGAGCAAAGTAAAAAAAGTTTTTATTTAATGTAAAGCTTGTTATTGGTATACATAGTGAAAGTTTTTTCAATGCTCTTTAAAGCAAAGTTGCTCATGAATATCCACAATATTCTTACTACTCCTATGTTGTAGATTCCTTTAAGTTGAATTAACGTACTTTTCCAAAACAGTTATTACCCATTACCCATTTTATTGTTGACTAAAATGATATTAACATAAAAAAGTAAAATTTGATTGGGAAGCTTCTATGAAAAGAATCAATAAAGGTCTAGCACCAAAAGAAGAGCTGCCATAATTCTAAGTGGCCTATACCAAAAATACACTGGGAAAACATGAGAATCTATGATTATAATTCATAAACAAATGTAAAATGAATTCTTCTTTCATTCTAATACACATGTCTAATTCTCTTATTTTTTTAAAATTTTTTTTGCTTTTTTGGGTCATGCCTGGCAATGCACAGGGGTTACTCCTGGCTTTGCATTCAGGAATTAGACCTGGAAGTGTTTAGGGGATCATATGGGATGCTGGGAATTGAACCTGGGTTGGCTGTGTGCAAGGCAAATGCCCTTCCCGCTGTGCTATTGCTCCAGCCCCACATGTCTAATTCTTTTCCTTTGAAGAGCAAGAAACAAATGGTGGACACTATCTATGATGCACTAATGCTTGATTTGTGTTAGAAGGATGGACAAATTTCCAATAAGCACATTCAGTTTCAAGCCAAAGATCTGCATCTTCAATCAGAAACTGGATATTAATTAATAATAAATCAAGAAAATTTATATGTAAGTATATGTTAAAATCCTTTACCAAGATAAAAAATTATATATACTTGAATCTACTTTTTAGATAAACCTACACAATACTTATCCTCATAGGTCATATAAGAACTCAAATGTGTGTGCTTATGTACAAAACATTACTAAAGTTTCTCATATATATAAATTAGTACTGTAGCACTGTCCTCCCCTTGTTCATCGATTTGCTCAAGTGGGTGCCAGTAATGTTTTCATTCTGAGACTTGTTACTGTGTTTGGCATGTTGAATACGCCACAGGAGCTTGCCAGGCTTTGCTGTGAGGGCGAGATACTCTTGGTAGCTTGCCGAGCTCTCTGAGAGGGGCAGAGGAATCAAACCTGGCTTGGCCAGACAGGCCAGGCACAAGGCAAATGCCCTACTGCTATCACTCCAGTCTATATATAAATTATAGTTTAAAAATGTTATGGTATAATTTTGAAGTAACTACACAGCACATGTATATATATATATATTTATAACTAAATGTATATGCTCATGGTTAAATGCATATAAAGTATATTACATATGTGTATACTTATATACATGTGTGACACACACATTCACACATTTTAAAATATATGTATATAGATGCCATGAAATTCACTACTCTACTGATTTACCAGATCATGCAATCATGCAACAGACCTTCATAAAGAGGTAATTTAGCAAACTCAAAGTGTGAAATTAAACTTAGCAACAATGACCAAGGTGCGTGTAGGCACCATAGTTCTGGATGAAAGCATCGTGTTTAACTTTCTCGTTTACTCTTATCAGCAAGGACCAGGGCCAAGGAACTTAGATCAGACATCCGAAGACTCACAACCCGGTGGGGCCCAAGTATCTTTGGCATACAACTTACTGCTAAGGTTGTTATTTACAACAAATTCAGTCTCATTAGGACATTTTGGATTAATAAATTTCTCAGGGGGATCTTAGTTTTTGAAGCTTCTTCCTCCTTCAGTATAAAATAGAGCCTCACTAAATGGGTTCAGAAATTTCAGTGGTGAAGAAAACAGATCTAGTTTAAAATATACAAGAACATTTTATTTTGGTGGATGAGCATATTATCACTTTTCTCCTGTTCTAAAATGACATAAAAATGGTAAGCCTTTAAGAGAGCATTGTACTGTGTTGTATGATAGAAAGTAAAAAAATATTCTACGAAGCATGATAATTAGTTTGAGTACATGCAAACCCTTGCTCCATCCTTTCTGGATTTGTGATGATCTCAGGCAAATATCTGAACAATATATTCTCACCCTAAACATGAGAAAACTACTACCATCCTCATGAAGTTGTTGTGAAATTAGCCGAAACCACTTAAATGCCTGGCATATTTATTGAGTAGGAGATCAATACATGTTAATTTCTCCTACTCCCATTTTGGTGTCTTAATCTTAAATAGTTATTTAAGGATCCAGAGTAATTATATACATCGCAAAGTCTGGCCCAAGTCTGAGACAGACTAAATGTCTTCTCCTCGGAAAACAGATAAACAACTGAAAACTATGGTTAACTTTGTACCCACCATTATTTGTTCCCTTTTGTGATTTCATTAATTGTGTAAGGAATAAAGTCAATGATTCAACATGCAACACACATACACACACACACACACACACACACACACACACACACACAAGTAAGGCTTACCTGCAGTTCCAGAGAGTTCCACACTTAAGGTTCGTTCAATAGTCTTGTTCTCAAATGGGGAACCCTTGGGGTCACTGGAAGATATGGCACATTTATAAAAACAAACTGAAATGGAGTTGCTGTAGCCAAATGTATTAGAACCCCCTTCCCTTTCTGAAAATGGTTACACTTCTTAATACTTACTTTGGTGACTCTGGGGTCAGAGGAAGAGATAAAGTTGTTGGTTTGGCTAAAGGGAAAAAAAGGAAACTAATTATGAAATATTGAGTGTTTTTTCAGCTTTTTTTTTCTACTACAGTCAGGTTGGAAACTGGAATGTGAAAAACTAATGTAAGGAATTCCCTGCATATTGGCTCAAAGTGAGAGATGAGTCCATTTGTCTTATGCTAAAACAAATTCCAAACATTTGCATCAGTAAACTATCATTTGAAAACACGTACAAAAATAGAATTTTCCCCAAAAATGTAGCATCCCAGTTAAGGATACAAAATTTTCATCATACCATCAGAGAGAAATAATGTTTTCTGCTTTAATTTGGAATACAGTACACGGTTTGTTTAGACAAGAAAACAGCAGCGTAGCTACAAGATGACAGAACGTTATGAATATTCAGTTGACTTTTCTCCTAAAATGTATAATTTTATATCTAGCCTCGAGAATAGGTTATTTCTATGAGGCCAAAGCTCAAGCAATAACCATCCCATTCACTGAGAATTAATTTGAGAGATTATGACAAATTGTGGATATGGACCCAGATGGTTCAAAAAGGGTTCAAATCCTTAAATCTGATAGACAACTAAGAGAAAGATATCATGTTTATCAGTTGAGAGGCCTATATTACTTGCAAAGAGAGCTCATCTACTTCTTTTTATGCTTCCTAAATCTTACCTCCTACAGGAGGCATTTCCCAATTATGAAGGGTGGAGTAAGAATCTTCTCACTCCAAAATTTCAATTGCTTCTCCTTGGCAGTCTTGTATTTTGAACAGAAGGAGGGGAAAAGAAGATGAGAAACGTACTTGGGATATACATCCACATAAAATGTATAGAACTATGCTTATCTATAGAACTATATTTATATGTATGTAGGTTTTTGTCATTTTTTCTTTTTACTTTCAGAAGGTCAAGAGGCAATCATTTATGTACTGAAAATCAAGAACTTGAAACCACAAATGTCTTTAGAATAAACTTTCTTATTTTATGGATGAAAAACCTGAGACCTAAAGTTGCTAAATAAATTTCCAGGACCATAAAACCAGGAACTGACAGAGTTGGCCAAGAATACGTTTCTTTTCTCCCATTATCAAAAGGAATGGCATTCAACAGAATTTAAAGTAAATTAATCGACCCCAGTAATTAAGGTCCTTTGAAATGCAAAAATATTACTTATGTCAAAGTAGGCTGAAATTAGGTACTTACATGGATAAATAGTATTTACAGTTTTAATTTGTAGGTTTAGTTTTTAAACAAATGAGTGGCTTATTATTTATCCAATATGCATCAGAAATATAAAGCTCATTCTGTCTTGTACAAATAAGAAACATTAACTTATTTGGGTTTATGTGTGTGTGTGTGTGTGTGTGTGTGTGTGTGTGTGTGTGTGTGTGTGTACACATATACACACAGATGGATGAACTGGCTTTACTTTTTAAAAACATTTTTTCACATGGTCTGATACAATGAGCCTTTCAAAAAAACACACTTAGGAAGGAACTTGACGAGTCTTTATGACCAACTCATACTTAGGATAAACGCATGTGGGTTCTATAAGAAAATATCACCAGATATCAACTATGTGCTTCATCATTCAATAGATGTATGATGAAAAATATTTACCACTAAGATTCTAGTGTTCAAGTTGTGGTGTAGGCTTTGTGAAATACTGAAAGAAAGATACTCCCATCCCAATTTTTCATACTTGGGTGAAGGTCAGGCCAAGGGCAATGGAAGGAGAAGAAAAGTGTCCATATTTAATGAGACCAGACTCAAGCAGGAAATGAGGGTCATAGAAAAGGTTCTGCCTCAAACCACACACAGGAACTAATCCCTGAATAATCCCATGCTTTAGCAGGAGTACTCATTTGGTTTACAGGGAGTTTAATCCATACCATACCAATAACCAGCAGATCAGAGACTCTTGAAGTCAGGAATACATCTTTCTTATGCAAATTTATGCTATTTTGATTAACAACTGCTTTAGCAAATGAATGAAAAGCTAATAAAGGGGAAACTAACACCAAGGTGAATCAAAGGCCAAACCCCTTAGCCAAAGGGGCCACCCACCCACATTCTGTTACAGACAGGAAGCGCAGGGAGAATTTTGCAACCCAGTAGAAGGGAACCTCCCTGGATCCTCTGAGTTACCATGTCTTCAATTCTTCAATTTTAAATAACTTAAATAGTCCCTGAGAGTCAGTATATAGTTTCTGTTGATTACCAAAATCCAATGTATGCATTCTTTAAGACTTTTAATACTTAAAATTGGGTCTTTGCTTTTTTTTTTTTTTTGGTTTACCTTGGTTTGGTTTTAATCACAGGCACAAGATCCTCCACACATCCCCTAACATCCCCACCACTCATCCCTCATCCCCATCCAGGATACATTTGTCTGTGCTCAGGCTGACTCCTGGCTCTGTGCTCAGAGATTGCTCCTAAAAGTGCTCAGGAGACCAATATGGGGTAATTGCAAGGCATACACCTGAACCCCCTTACTCTCTCTGACCCTGTGGCAAGCTTTTTATGCCTTGTTACACATATCTTAAAACAATGAATTTCAGCTAAACAATCTTTTCTTCCCAGCCTAACTCAATTCCTCACCACTATCCTTTGTGAAAGTTCACAGTGATACGCAAACAATTTCAAATCTTTTAAATCTTTATTTAAAATCCTCTAAGCCATTAATAATTTTTTTAAAAAAATTACAGAACCTAAAGAACCAACAAAACTTAAATAATTAAAATATGTGCCTGTTCAGATAGAGAAGGGAGCACCAAATAAAGGGTGTTTGGAGGATCCTCCCAGGAGGGGAGATGCATGTCGAAAGTAGACTATGGACTGAACATGTTTGCCACTCAATGCCTCTTTTGCAGACCACAACACCCAAAAGGAGAGAGAGAACAAAAGGGAATGCCCTGCCACAGTGGCAGGGGGGGATGAGGGGGATGGGGGTGGGAGGGATACTGGGATCCATGGTGGTGGAAAATGGGCACTGGTGGAGGGATGGGTATCTGATCATTGTATAATCGAAACCCAAGCACAAAAAATTGTAAATCTACAACTGTAAAAAAATAAATAAATAAAGGGAAAAAATAAATAAAAAAAAATATGTGCCTATGGGCTGATGTATAGACTTCAGGATTTCTGGGAACCTGAGACAGTCCTTTCTGCTCCAGACATTCCCTCTTAGTTCTCCAGTTCACACACTAGCGTGAACTTGGCTGGCCTCTGTTCTTGGGAAGCCATTGCCATAGACTGGCCCCACCATATATACATCCGGTTCCATTCTAACCATTACTGGTTCTATGTCTGCAAACAAGTGGCTGAGGTGGGCAACGTGAGCAGATAATCTGGCTCATTTCCATACGTATTCCCCCAAAATACAGCAAGGCAGAGAGAAGGATCTTAAGTTCTCCACCCAGGAACACCTGTTTGAGAACCAATTTAAGACATCAAAGGAAGGTTCTCAAAAGTCTTGAATTCTGTGCCAAGATAGGGGTGAGGGAAATCCTGAATACTGAGATAGAAAACGTGGAGGAAATGAGCGTGGTTAAGACAAGAACCAAATATTAGAGGCCCCTCCACCATTGGTAGGGAAACTGGGGATATAAAAGAAAGACAAAGAGGTGGAGGCTGAGATGGAGCTTTTAGAACATGCCTCTTTTCACCTGGAGCTAAAATCAAATGCAGAGTCTTTTAAAACACTGAGGGTAAGAACCAAAATGGGATGACATTTCTATTGCTATTGGACAGGTTTTCCCCAAATCACCTCATCTGCCCCAGAAGCATCATTCATTGATCTTCTAACAACATAAAAGGATTAAAAAAAAAAACCTCAAATGTTTTATAAAATCTCAACACCATTATGGATCACACCCAGCACCCACCCAGCAGTGCTCAGGGCATTTGCTGGTGGTCACAGGAGGATCATACACATGATTAAAATTAAGGGCCTTATGAAAAGCCTTAACTACTACATCATCTCATGACACAAGGCATTTTTTTAATAGGAGAAAAAAGTTCTTAGTTTCTGGAATTAAAAAAAAAATTCTGAGAAAAAGTGGTATAAAAAAGTAAATAAAGAATGTAGTTAATTATTGGGAGAGGTGATGTCTGTGTGACTTCTTAAGATATATACATATGGGGAATCAACAATGTCTCTTTTTAAAGGGGAGGGAAAGCCCAAAAACCTCTCTTCCTGAACTGACTGGCCCAGCTTCCTCAACATCAGTGATCTCAGCGATCTGGAGATTCCTGTGAAATGCATGTGGGAATGCTACAATATCCCTCCCCCACCTCCATCCCAGCTAGCATTTCAGATTTTGGGTGACTGAGAGTTAGGTTGCACATCAGCTGAATAGGATATGGTCAACCTGTGTCTGAGAAAGGATTTTTCCCCCATCTAGAAGAAAGTGCTGAATTCTCCTTCCTGAAACAATCTGCATCCTCATCCCGGAGTCAGGTCCTACTATTGCTGGGACCCAGAGGCTCTGTGTAGAGAGCCGACAGCTGGGTTTGGACCCTCCAACCTACCTTGTAAATGTTGCGACTGGGATTGTGTGTGGGACTTCTTTTTGAAGGTGCTTTTGTCTCTGCTGCTGTTCCTGTTCTCTGTGGGTTTGGTGTGAGGAGGGTCATCGTTTGTGGTCAGATACTTGAGAAGCTCTGAGCAGGGACGTCTTTGTGGCTTTTGCGGTTGACAAATGCTCTTCGCTTTATTGCTCCATGAATTCTCGGTCTTAAAAACAAGGCATAAAGAAAGCTAAAATTAGTGAACTGAACCTTATCAGAATGGATATAGGTTTTCTGAAGAGATGAGATTTTCAATGAAGTGTTCAGTCTAAGTGTACTAGATCTATGAGCTGTGAATAATTGTTTGCAGAACAAGGAAAGAAAATTACATTTAAAATTCCTAAATGACATTTATGCAGCTTTTTATTTCATTTCTCCTACATTTCAATGTTCCTACTCAGCAACATGTAACTAACAAGACCCTACAGCGCCTTTACTGTGAATAAAGGGAAAGAAAAAAGAAAGCTGGTTTAAACCTTAATTTGCCACTGATTGCTGGAGCCCAGTATTCACAATTCTCTTAAGTACCCCTTAACGCTCCGTTTTCACTCACAGTGAATGGCAAGACAAACATTGTCTAATACAGCTCGCTAACCGAATTATGTCATTGCCAGCATTCCATCCAATTAATGGCAGAGATAGATCTTTGGCGGGGATTCCAAAGCAGTCTTTCTCAGGTTTGACAGCTGGCAAAATGGCAATCCCACTTCTTCAAGTCACTCACTGATAATACCAACCCATCAGCAAATTTGATGGTAGCCCACACTGCAGCATTTATTAGTGAAGTGGGCGAGGATCAACAGACGGTGGGACCTCCATTGCAGAGGCACGCAGACCAAGAGTAAATAAACTCTTCCGGGTTTGATGATGCCAGAAGGTGCTGCTTTGGGGAACCCATTATTCTAGGCCTGCTTCATGCTTCTGGAAGGACCCTTCGGATCAGATTGGAATTCACTCCTATAATCAGGTGCTTTATAGTTTCAAGCAAAAACCCATTATGATTTTTCCCTCTTAGAGTAAAAAGTTCATGTTTGTACCTTAACAACTGCAGGGTTTGTTCTGATCCTGTGATTGTGGTTTGCATGGTTCTGAGTGCTGAGACCACTGCATTCATTATAACTTAGCTGAGTGTTGGCCGGTGCCAGTAACAGCTTCTTAAGCTGGAAGAAACACATCGGGGAGAGGAAAAGCAAGAGACGTTACGTACCTTTTAAACATTTGTAAAGAGTCAGTGAAATTTAAAAAACTTTAATTCACTCATTTTAGGGATGAAAATTAATGATATCACACCTTATCACAACAGTGCTAAGGGAATTTTTTTCTTTAAAGAAAAAGGAAGAAAAAGTTTGGCATTGCACTACCAACTCAAAAAGTTTTGGCTTTTATGCATATTCAAAACTCAGTATTGTCTACCTTAATTTTTCTTTTAGATAAAATTATGCAAAAACCACTTCCTACGAGTATTTTTGAAAAACAACTCAATGAGAGAAGCTGCCTTGCTAAATAAGGATCTGGGCAGAACATTTCCCCAGCTCCCTCCATAACCTAAATTAATCAAGTGGCAATAAATAAAAGGAGTTTCTTTGAATCTTGAACTATGTCTCATAATCAAGCAAAAAACATTAACTGATTCAGACTATTTGATGAAGCACTTGTCACTAAAAAGGTTGTCTAAGGAATCAGTCAGAAGATGCAGAGCATCTACTATCCCTGGACCTCAATTCCTCCTTTGACTTTACAGTTTCCCTGCTCAAACAGGCAATGAAATGGACTCAGTGATCAAGCGCTCTTTCTCAAAACAATTGAGTGAATAAAAATCACTTGCCATCAGTAAAGAATTCAAATTCAAGGATAGTGACAATAGAAGAATTGAGAATAAATAACAATTACTGAAGAGATATTTTCTTCTCAACCAGAGCTTCTGACATGCAAAGGAATACAAGTAGAACGTCCTTAGGTTTTCATGAAGTGCTGTGAACACAATACTACCGAAATGGGAGAGAAATAACCTCTAAAAGGCACGCCGAAGCATGCTCTCCAGGTTTGGAGGATAGCCTTCCATAATTTACATAGTGTGCTCTTAAATGAGAGTTATGGCAAATGACAAATGGCTCCCATAGATGAGAAGGTAAACTGTGTCTTAGAACTAATAAAATTCTTGTCAAGCACTGCATTGAAAAGAAAATTCACTCTTCAGTTCCAACAAATTCTCTGCTTCATTGCCTAACATAAATTTAGGCAACTTGGGTTGCAAATGTGCTATTATTTTTCAATCTTCATAAGAATTATGGATCCAAGTCTTGTATCTCCCTTGATCTACCTTCTACATTTAGAATCTAAGAATAAAACTGCAAGCAACTCTCTTGGCAGAGCGCACATGTTTTTCTCAAAATTTGAAGACTAAAATTACAAGCATGTCAATGATTATATAGTTTATGATAGTGAAAAATAGGCAGTGGAACTAAATCTCCAATACAAAGGGGTGGGTAATTAATTACTACATCCTCAAACAATAACCAATGCAACCTATATGCATAATAATAAAAATATAAAATGCAGCAAAAATATTCCATATAAAATTAAAGATTCACAGATATGTTGATTACATGTATTTAAACAAGAGGGAATGTAAATAATTTTTCATATTGGTCATAATTTAAAATCATACTAAATCTTTAGAACTATCTTGGTTGTCCACGTTTTATAAGATTCAATGGTGAACATAAATAATGTTACCAAATAAAAAGAAAGGCACATAAAGAACAAAAGGTAGTTGTTTAAATGTGAAGACCACACATAGATTGCATTGTCCATATTTTAACATAGAGAATCACAAAATGTGCAACTTTGAGTGAGCTTGGGGATTGCTTTGGCATCAGTCTAAATTAAATATCCAGACCTTATTGTTACTACGTCATACCCATGCAGCGGGTAGCCAGGGGCAACTCCAATTCCTGTTAAACAGTAGGAAGGGTTCTTACTAGAGACGGCTCTTCTGCCTCCTGAGGGGGAGGAGTGCCGTCAGGCATGGAGGAAGGACTAGCCTCATTCTCCGTGGTCACATCTCCATCTGTCAGTGCATCAAATGAGGGCAATCCGTCTTCATCCACAGGGAGACTGTCCAGTGTCTCTGTGAGAACTGCTAGCAAGTTTGCCTCATTCTCTTCATCTATCTTCTAAAAAAAAAAAAAACAAAAAACAAAAACCCAAGACTGAAGACATGATTGACTTGACATTGGGATGTGAGTCTGTTTTGACTGAAGTGATTTAGCCAAATGACTCAACTATAAATAACCTCCAGAATACAAAGATCATGATCTCCTTCCACTCCAAATTCACTGGTAACCTGAATCACAAAACTAATTAATACCTCTGCTCCACCAACCTCTGATGCTGAGCTGCCCAGGTTAATAATTTGTTAGGATGGTGCCTATAACTGCTGCCTGTATGTAATTATATCACGTCTACGGTTGTCTTCCACATCTATTGTCTTCTTTCCCTAACAGAGATTTAGAGAATCACAGGGCTGGAGAGAATTTTAATCATCTTCTATTTTATCTTCAGATATAGTATCTCAATCTCTTGTATAGCATAACCACCGAAAAGTTTAGATAACCCTCTGTTTGAGCATCAGCAGAAACTGGAAGTATACAAAGAGAAACTTTCATAGTTTCAATTACAATCTCATCACTGAACACTCCACAGTCATTTATTTCTCTCGCTGACATCTCTCCCAACTCTACTCATAAATCTATAGCTGCCTACTGGACATTTCTACTTGATAATAACTCCCTCATCTCCAAAATCCAAACATAGGACTTTTTAACCACAAAAACTGCTGTTTCTCTTGATTCCCTGAGTTGGGTAACAATTCCTCAGACCTTAACTATGGAACTACCTCAAGTTAGTGAATCACTAAGAGAGTTTGACTTCGTAAAATTTCTTAACTATCCCACCAAGCATGATTTTAATGGAATGTTGCTTCTAATAGGGGCTTCTGCAAATACGGCCTGTTACTTTTTCCATCTCCCATATTTTCCTGTGTCAACACATCCTTGGGAAGATAATCTCTGGTTATTTTTTCTATAACTTAAATTTTTTTAATTTATTTTGAGAACTGTGATTTACAAAGTTATTGGTAGTCAGAGTTGAAGCACACAATATTTCAACACCAATCCCACCACTAGGGTCAGCTTCCCTCCACCAGTATTCTGCAGCTGTTTGAAGACTTCCTCTAGGCCTGTGCCTTGCTAGGTGCTGGAGAAACAAAGAAAAATAAGACATATCTCAGGCCTTCTGGGACCATTCCACTGGAATAAAAGAACCTATAAACTATGTTCTCTATTAGAGAATCTTTGCTTCAGTACTATAAACCAACACTTCCCAAAGTAAACTTTTTTTTGCATGTTGCTAACAGCACCATATTTACATTCTATGCATCTGGGGTACCAGCATCAATGCTGGGTGCGTAGCACAGAGAGTCATTGCTTGTTTGCTGATATTTCATTGATCTGCATTTATTGCCTAGAATATCTATCACACAGATCACTTTCTCCCTCTTCCCTCATCTCTTCACAATGTCCAATTTGACCTGCTTCCTAAGTCTTTTTTTATGTTCTGTATGCTATGACATTAACAATATCAGCTAAATTATCCCTCACAGATTCTATTACAAAATGCATCTAAGCTGCTGACACCTAATGAAGCTAGTAGTGCCCATACTTCCTTTCTCTCTAGCACTGAACTCCAGTTAATTGACCTGACAAAATTACAAGAATCACAGAAAAGACAGCTAATCAGAAAATCAAATTGTATTACTAGAGAAATTAGGCAGGCCTTTATCACGTATACATTCTATTTTCACACAAAAATTGTTTTCCCTTATTACTGATGAGTCTCCATCCAGGAGTAAAACTACAACTTCTGTTCCCTTTGCATGCAAGCCACAAAGAGTCATTTGTACTCAGGCTGGACTTGACTTGACTTTCTTTTCCCCATTTGCATAATGCATCTCTCTAAGTCCCTGCACTTGACATAGTCAGGGAAGAGTTTTGGGTCACACAGAATGGAATGACAATGGCATGAGTTTGCAAATTCTTCTGCAGAAGATAAATCCTAATCAGAAGAGGTGAAATGCGTGCTTAAAACGGGATCACTATTTTCTGGAAACTGACCAGTTTTTTAAAAGCTAAAATTTCTCAATTCCATAAAAATAAAGGCTTATTGAACATACAATCTGCCTCTTTAACACCACCAAAAAAAAGTAAACTTTAAACATTTTCATAATCTCACATCTAAATTTCCAGGACCCTCTTTAAATTAATTAATTAATTTTGTTTGGGGCCACACGGGGTGTACTCCTTATTCTGTGTTCAAGGATCACACCTGGTGGGGCTCAGGGGACAACATGGAGTGTCAGGCATTGAACTCAGGTTGTCTGGGTACAAGGTAAGTGCCCTGCCTGCTATACTATCTCTCCTGTCCCCCCATTTTGTTTAAATTTGGGCTCTGCAACATACCAAAAGGCAAATTTAAATCTAGGTCATTAAAGTGTTGAGCAAAATTTATATTTAAATTAAATAATTATTGTTTTAAATTGTGAGATTTTCATTAACATAATAATGCTTCATAATATCAAATTATGAACATAATCTCTGAAAATATCTCAAACACACACATGCTCTCTCTCAGAGACACAGACGACTTTTAGTAAATTGTATAGTTTTTTTTCAGGTATGTTAATTTTCAGAAAGAGTTATTTCACTGAAGTTCAAAAATAGCTCCAGAAAAAATAGTTAAGAATGTTTACCAATAAATGAGTAATTTTGTTTATCCCATTTAAATTTTGTTTGGCTTTCCAGCAATACTACAAGCCTATGTTTGCTTTCAATCACATAATACAATAGCGCCTTAGTTCTATCCCTAGTGTAAACAAACCATGATAATTCCAATCAAGTCAAAATGACAAAGAACACTTAAATTAACTAGTTTTCTCCCATTTCTTTAATAAGCCCGGATGAATGCAAACCAAATACAATGGCAGAAGTATTGAAGTTTGATCAACTCATAATTAATTTACAAGTTCTGATTAAACCACTAACTATTTTAATTCTCGTCTCTCCTGGAAGCACAGTGAAGATGTTTTGGGGATAGAAGATATGCATTGTTTGTGAATGTGCACGTTATGTTGGGTGTGAAGGTAGGGCTAGTTGGTGCTCATCCCCTGTGATTCAGTAGAGCTGTAATCAGTATTGATAGTATCCATTAGAAATTACTCCTAAAAAATAATCATTTTGTAAAGTTATTTTTATATTTAAACACAAGACAGTTGTTATGGGCTTTCAATGTTCTAACACCAATCCCACCACGGGCGTGACCTGCCCTCCACATTTTTCCAAGCCTGCCCAAGGCACAAAATAATTTATTTTATATTGCTTGTTACAAGGAAATGACTAATGGAGTTATCAAAAACATTTCCATGAAAGAAAATTTGTGAAAATTGTTCTGTCTCACCATGGGGTCGTTAAGTCCTTGTCTGACGTTTAACTAAACTGTCTATTGCTAGCTGCGCCTTCTGTGGTATTGTTTTTGTTTGTTGAGTTTAGTTGGCTTCTATGTTACTTTTCTATCTAATTTGGTATACTCCTACTAGAATGTCAATATTGTGGAATTATATACATTTTTTTCAAGTAACTCAGAGGTATGGTCTAAGACCATATATTTTGTCAAGTTGTTCTTGAATTAAGATAGAAATAAATGTTAGTTTTAGATTCTCTGCATTCTCTCAATTTACAGAAGACTGAAAAGAAACAGTTGTTTGCTGAAGGCTTTCCTGTCGTGAAGCCCAACACATTCTTCTTTACATAAAGGTGAGTGGAATTTGTCTCTCGTTGTGGCAAATTCAACTAGCTTAGCATGAGTATCCAGATGCCCCAAGAGGCAATGGGTGTGACAAAAAAATAAAAAGGACTCTCAAAAATGAATCTCGCTTTCCATGACTGCATCAGTCCCAATTTACAGAGCAAATAAATCCAAGTCACAATCAGTGAAGCATACTGACCCACTCACATATATATCTATTCCCAGGTGACATCAGTATAGAAATACCATTGCAGGATAACAATCCAAAATTAGCCTTTATATTGCTCTCTAACTAGTCAAAAGTCCTGTGAGAAACATATATGACTTGTTAGAGCCCCACGGAAGTTGAAAAGAAAAGCTGAGAGGTGAGAAAGAGATCCACAGTGATCTATGGCTATCACCCAAGGTTCCACCTGGCGGCTCTGGCAGCATTAGAGAGGGGAAGCTAGGAAACAAGCTAAGAGCATTGTGCTACATTGTGCTCTGTGGCTAAAGGGTGCCATTTCCCCAGAAAAATTTCAACCTGGAATTCTCCTTACATAATGTAAGGAGATCTATATGACCATTAAAGATCTATATGACCATTACATGCCATACTCTAAGGGTTCTCTGGGAATAAAGAAGGATCACCAACAAAATTCATTCAAGGTCTAAAGATGTGCCAGTGACAGGTTCTGGATACACCTAATATGAACAATTCATAAGTTAGAAGATGCAGCATCTCTGAAGCAATACTGTAACAATCAAAAATGATTATTCCAGCCAATGTACCAGAATGGATGTTTTTCGGAACAAATAGGATAGCCCCACCCTGCCTGACTTATACTGACAGTTCAAAAGGCACCATTGGAGGGGTGGAGTGTTAGTACAGCAGGAAGGGCGCTTACCTAATATGCATCTGATCTGAATTCAATCATCGACACCCTATATGGTCCCCCAAGCCACCAAGAGTGATCTCTTGATCATCAAACCACAAGTTAGACCTAAATATCAGCAGGCATAGTCCCCAAACAGAATAAAATAAAATAATGGCATCATTGGAAGAAGGTAGATTCTGTTCTCTGAAGTGTCCAGAATGACCTCAAGACCGAACTTGAGATCCACTGTAGAAAACCTGGGTCTCTCATTGTGAGTAGTTGGCATTGAAACTAGTTGACAGTGCATACAACTCACCAAATGCACCCAACGAATAAATAAATCCACTGAATTAAAAAAGGAGAGTATAAACTCTTGAGATGCTAATACCTGAAGGGAGAAATACCATGAAAACCCCATGTGGCATTCCAAGGATTTGTAAATGCAGGCTATTATGGAA